CTTTTCAGATTTTTGCCACTATATATTATCCCCCTGTATTATATTTAAAGAAATTGAATAATGAATGCATGCTTCTCGCATGGTAATTTCGAATTTATTTTATTATCCATTTAGTATTTTTTAAACGTTAAAGAATTTTTGATTAACAAACTCGACGATTTCAAAGCGAGCAGTGCCAACACACTGTAGGCATGCTATAAAATCTGAAAGCTTTCAAAATGTTTTTAAAAATTATTTATCTATTAATTTTATTTATTTGTTTATGTACTTCATTACCGCATATTAATACTGTATTTAATAGCATATTTCTGGACAGTTTAACTGTTTAAACGGGCTCTGTAACGCAGTGTGACGGGGGGAATGTGGGCATTTAATTGCATAGAAGACAACTTCAAATTCCACCTGCTATCTAAACAAACCGATGGCATTCTTCGAAAGATTTCAATTAAAGTGCCACCCAAGGTGAGCTCCGGGCCACCCAATTGCAGTCTGCCTTGACGGGCATAACGGAACAGGGGTGGAGGAAGAATAATAATAATAATAATAAAAAAAAAAAAAAAAAAAAAAAACGCTCGTCTCTTCACCTCCTCTTTGAACCGAAGATACAAACTCAAAAAACTGGCACGGTATCCAAAACTTGCATTTTTTTAATTGGACACGGAGGATATGCTCAGTGTGGACGCAATCCAAAAGCATAGACTTCAATTATTTGGGTGTATTACTTCCTCTGCTTTGATCCGCCGACACCCAAGAGGCCCTTGCTGCAGGCAGTGGCAGACCTACAGCTATCGTGACCTGGGGCGGAAATCTCCTTGGGGCACCCCGTTATTGGAATGATCTGCATGCAAAATGTCAATATAAATATATAATTAACATTTATTTTAGTTAAAATTTAAGTAATTGAAATGATTTGGAAAACAAAAAATCTTAAGATTAAAGAAAAACCAATTTACATCTACCAGCCAAACATATATCTAAAAAAGCTTTCTGATCTTCCATTTTTGTTCATTTAATATTTATTATTATTTTTTTTAACTTTCCTGTCAATAATAAAAAAAAGTTGCTTTTTATTGGTGAGTTTTACTTCTGGAAATTTTTTATACTTTCATGAAAATTAATGTTTTTAACTGTAGCATTTTCAGTGGAAAGGATTGCCGAACCGCTAGATCTTATTCGGCTCATTGTCGATCGAAGGTAGTTTCTAATCAATTTCAATTTTGAGAAACGTATTCTTTCGCAAGAATCAACTGAAACACACTGTCAAAAAGTCAGGTCAAAAAAGTCTAAATGGCGATTAAAAAAAAGTGTTATGCCGTTGAAAACACTTACTTTGTGTTCTGTTATTTACAGAAAACGGGTGTAAAAACACAGACTGTGTTACAAATGACATGAGGAGGATGTTCTCGACCGGGATCATCTGGAAATAAAATTGCTTGAGTCCCCCTCTCTAAGGCTCAAGTGGGAACAAAGCTGTTGAAGCTGCTTTGGGAAGGAGCTCAAATGTTACTGAGTCCTTCAGAGGCATCCGCCCTGATCAGGGGCACGCGGCTGACTTTCCCCCCTTGATAGGCCCCTTGCTAAATAAGCACTATCTGTCCTTTTATTGTCAACGTTTTTTTCATTTTGTAAAGCTCCTGGTATATAAAACAACCTTGCTTGTCCGGTATGTTATGGTAACCTTGTTTAAAAAAATTCATTCAAGCTAATATAGTTTCTGTTTTCTCGACTTTTATGAAACTTTGAAAATTATCTCTGTTGAAGAATCAGTAAAATGCTTCATCAATCAGAGTCTATGCACTCCAAATCTTTTAGTAAGACGAAAACAGTCACTAGGTGGACGAATCCACTTTAGAGTGCAGAGTAGCTTACTTTCTGAACGCCTTGAACAGAGGGGCCAAACTCAAATTGTATGCCGGCTGCTTGCACATCCTGGAAACAATTAAGAGGCCGGATTCCCCCCCCCTCCAAAAAAAATTTCATCAGCAAAATTAAAAATATTTTAAATACATTTTAAATCTTGCTTGATAAATACGTATAAAGGCGTAATATAAGTAAAAATAATAGTAATACAACAAAAGAAGAAAATTCTAATTTCTATTTATTTTTTATTTGAAATCTGAAGTTTTATGCTTGCAATATTTGTTGGTTACACCTTGTAATCCAAACATACTGACAACTAAATATTTCATTCCTAGACTGATATTCCTTTCAAATATTTCTGGCATGTAATTAATCATTAAATAATTTACCTAAATTTAAACATAATAAACAAATTATGAAGAATTTCTGAGTTTTCGGAGAAACTTTTCCAAGTGAGACAAAACTTGAGAGTAAATAAATACAACTCAATTTCTTTCTCTTATTTATTAAATTTTCCTTTCATGATTTAAAAAAAAAGAACATATTTGCATGCAAATAATTATAAACTCTTTATTTCTTATTACAGCTTGACAGTTGATGGTATTAGATTCTGATAAAATTTGTAGCCGTGGGGGAGAAATTATCTTTATCCACGGATTGTAGATGCTGATCGGTCAAGGTGTTTCTTTTCCTATCAATTTTCAACTGTGAAAAAAGCTGTTTGCATATAAATTACATTGTAAATTAATTAACTACATCCATAGATTTTCTGGTTCGTTTTTGACGTTCATTTTTAATGGAAATAAAAATAATATCAAATCGAACTTTACAAGTACTGTAACTTTACAAGGATTATGCCTGTAAAGGTTACAGATTTGTTTCTTGTAATATTACAGCAAATAGTTATGCAAGTAGAACATAATTTTCTAAAGTAAAATTCCTAACGGATCTGTAACCGTTACAGTTTATTTGCTTCTATTATTACAGCAAGCAATTGTATAAGCAGAGCACATGTTTCCTATATAAAATCCCAAAGGATATATCTATAAATACAGATTATTTTCTTATAAAACATACTAAGTAATTATGTTTATAGAATATAAACTGAAGAGCCAAAACATTATGACCACCTACACAATAACGCGTTGCGCGACCTTTGGCCTGGAAAACAGCTGCAACTCGCCCTTTGCATAGATGCCACAAGTTCTTGGTAGATGACTGGAACAGGTTGTATCAAATGTCTAAGCAGCGATCATACTAAATCGGAATACTCCGACTTGATTTTATTTGAGCTCTGAGCTGCCTCTTCATGAGATCCCAAATGTACTCTATCGGCTTAAGATCCGGCGAGTTAGGTGAGAAGGACATTAACTGGAATTCATACTCCTCGAACCACTCCAACACAATTCGAGCCTTGGGGGGGGTATTGTTGTTCTGCTGGAAGATTTCATTTTCAGTCAGGAAGAGAGACGCCATGTAAGGGTGCAGTTGATCCGCACTTATGTTCAGATACTCCTCAGCTTTCATGGTTTTTTTTACCACAACTAAGGATCCTAGAGCTTCCCTTGAGAATGTCGCCTAAAGTATAATACTGCCACAACCAGCCTGTGTATAACCTGCCTTCTGCTATAACCGGGGAGGGTAGCAAATTTTCGCCTGGAAGACGGCATACCCTGATACAATCATCTACATGTTAAATGAGAAGTCGTGATTCATCCGAGCAGGCAACTGTCTTCCATTTAATCCGTGGTCCAGTCTTGATGTTTCCGGGCCCATGTGTGCGCAGTTGTCAATGACGCTTGGGCAATGGAGGCACATGTGTGGGACGTCTGCTGCGCAGTCACATATCCAACGTCCGCTGAATTCTGGGTTCCGAAACACTTGCACTTGGACCTACATTGTATTGGGCTGTCAGATGAGCCACTGTTTGACGCCGATTTTTCTGTACCAAGTTTCGTTTTCAAAAAAGAACATTATTCCGCTGCAGAGTACTTTTGTTTAATGAAGAAAATTTTCTGTCTGATATTATTGAAAGTTCTATCAAATTTTCACCAATCTGAAATTGAATTTTGATTCATTTAAAAGTTCAAATTGATACGCTGTAGAGTCATTAAGATTTTTTTTGGAAGCAAGAGTCAGTAAAATGAGCAATGCCTTCACCGAGACTCGAATCACGGACCTCTCGAATACGCGCCGAGCATTACACCACGAGGGCATGCTAAAAAGGCGGTTGAAGAAGGCGGAAGATTTGAATTGGGGACTCCTGTTTATATTATTGGGTACTGGTATACAGCAAATTGACGACCAGTTAGATCTCCAGGCACTTATGTTCTTGCCACCGCCGTCTTTGGGAGTCGCGAGTGGCGATCCTGCGCTCACTGAGTAGCGGCGGTTTGAGAGTTTTTAAAGTCTGCCGTCTCGAATTGGTAAATCGGGGCAGTAGCACTTATATACAGCTGAGACTGGTCCGTTGTATCGTTCAATAAGTATTATTATCCTTGGTCTTGAAGAAGGAAAAAAGGCATGAATACCTTGTAGAGACGTTTTTTTTTTCCCTGAAGTAGGAGTCATGAAAATTGAACAATGCTTTCGCCGGGACTCGAACCACGGACCTGTCGAATACGCGTCGAGCGTGCTGACCACTATACCACGAAGGCATGCTAAGAAGACGGAAGAAATACCTTATAACCTTTTTGCTAAGCTTATATTTTTAGATAAGAAAAACCTTAACGTTTTAACTAAATGAGAAAATATGCGACTAAATTCGGTATATTAGTGTAAAGTGAAATTTTGCTAATTTAAAATGATAATACTAAAAGTAAAATTTTTTTGTAAAATAATCGGAAATCCGAAATTAATTTTTGCGAAAGGAAAATACCGTAACGATTAAAAAGTGAATTTCCTATTATTCTCTTTAAAGTGAAACTGTACAACATCGAATAACTATAAAAAATTGTAAAAAATAAGCAAAGAATAAGGCAAAGAATATCTATGTTATTTAAAATGTATATATAAAATGTACATTTTAAAGAAATATACATTTTATATATCTGTGTTATCTAAAATGTATATTTCTTTAAAGTGTTGTAAATTATTCTTATTGCAGTCGTAACTAAATTCACTTTTTTTTTTTGTTCCAGCTTGGCTGTCTACTTTATACCTTACTGACGCAGCTTGGTGGCTTTCCTATGATATCCTTGAATTAACCACTAGAGGTATAGTTTATGAAATATTTTCTGTGCAACATTCAGAATGGAAAAATTATATTTCAAGTAAAAAAAATATATATATATATTATTAAGTTCTCTGTTATCTGCATCCAAGGAGAAAACACATTTTCATATATAACCTGTAACACAGGAAATATACAGTACATGTCTTTATTTTCATAAAAATGGAATCTAGAATGTTTCTTTTCATTAAAAAAATCTTCTCAAAATAAGGTAGAGAGGGGGAAGCCTAAGGGCAGGGATGTTTTTACGTAGAACTTTCTACGAGAAACTGATTGGTGAGTCATATGGAAAACCGTGAAAACTTGCAGGTAGTCCAGCTGGATTACCATTTTTTAACAATATCATTCTCTGGATCGTTGGTGGGTTATAATGGTCTCCAAATCAACGTTCATCCTCTTTTATGTCAGTAAATTTTTGCCGTCGAGACGAGAAAGTGGTTAATGACTCTGACTATCGTACGGAAGGGCACGGGTTCGAATCCCGGAGAAGGCGTGGATGTAAAATTGTCTTTCATAGGAGGCAACAGTGGCCGCCTGTTAGGTGCCTCCATAATAAAATGACCAACTCTTCTGGCCTTAATAGTGGCCAAAGCTTAAAATGGCTAGTGCCCGCCATTTAAAGGGGGGGGAGTCAATAAATTTTGTCATAAATAAACGGGGACACGAAATAATTCTTATTTAGCTGATTGAAACTTTATAAACATTCTGCTCTTCTGAGGACCAAATAAAAAGTTAAATTTTGTATAAAAAACTCTTTCTACCCCCCCCCCCCGTTGAAATTATTATCAGAAAATCTTATTTTTGAGACGCTTTGTAATTTGAAGTTTGTATTTGGCATCAACATTTAAAGAAAGTAATCGTAATCAAAATAATTATTACAAGAAAAGAAAAAAATATGTAACGATTGTAAAGACTTCAACTTGTTTTCAGTAATCGCAGATGTAATTACTTCCTTTCTTATTTTTAAATCGCTTAGTTTGTTAATTTTGCAATAGCAGACAGGTTCAGTTTGAAAGAAAATTTAAATATCTTACTCTTCGTTGAGTGGCAACACGTCGCTTTTAAATCTCTTAATTTGTTAACCAAAATTCCGTAAAATTTGCACGAAGTATGAAATAGTATATAGAGAGCAAAGTCAGGCGACTTTTTAAAAAATAAGACCCAAAGCATGGGAGGAACATCAGGACAGATAAATACTAAAGAACTCTGTGATTGCAATTCCAGGCGAACGGTCTCGCTGCATGGGCGTGTTTGTGGTTTTCTGCATGTGTAATGTGGATACGGGCCAGTTTCCCTTAGAAACTCCTCCACGATGGCATCCCTCCTTTTACGCAGATAGCTCTTGCATGATTTGTCCAGACCAAGTCAGACTTAAAGAGCTTTGCTTAATGCTTCCGTATGTCTAAATTTCACATATCACTGTTTGTTTCGTCTCGCAAAACGCGCTTTCTGTCGCGTCGTGTTTAACGTTCTTAGTAGTTTGAAGTATAACTGTACGAGTATTTTTGTGGAAAGTTCCAGAGCTGTAAAGTGTTCCTTTTGGTAAAATAAATTTTATCAAACTATCATCGGTTGTCTGTGCATTCAATCTATTACGAAGCTGTACGCACACAACAGTACGGTGCTGCATTTGATATCTTGCAAAAATTTACACTTTCTGCATCACAAAGCAAAGTTCGTCCACTTCAGTATCCTTTTATAGAATCCCCACTCGTCAAACACTTTCCGCGAGGTTCACCTGCTTTGGAAACGAATCCGTTCTACGTGTCGCCTGTCGAGAGGAAATCTCGAATTTCCGATTTGCCATGCCTTTTCAAATGGACGGGAATCGAGTGGCAGATGGTAGGCACGAGCCATTCGTTTGTTCTGTGACCCACACACGCACACTTCAGATCCTCTTAATAGCAAATGTTCCTCGATTCCTCAACGTGCGAGAGCAGCGTGGGAAGGTTTGATGTGGATTTCCGTCTGTTTTTGACTGCTAGAATATAGGCGGAATCTGGAAGAGAAATACCATAACGGTAAGTTTTCTTGTCCCTTGAGTGCAGTTTGACATTTGTTTGTTGTGTTTATGTTTGTGACATTATGGTTTCTGATATTAATCTGTCTAAATTTGTATAACTCCAAAGGACGTTTAGTCACGAAACGCAATTACGCGTTGATTCACTTTTCATTCGAGTCTGCTGCCATTCAGCAAAATGTAAGATATTTATTTAACTCTCCAACGGAATCTGTCTGTTGCGGATTAACAAACTAAGCTACTGAAAAGTAGTAAATGCAGTTCTGAAGTCTTTATAAACTTTCTATATGATTTTACAAAGCAATATTTTTATAAAATTCTTTTTTGTGGAAGCTTTGTAAAATTTCTGTAGAATTTTATAGAGAAACATTACTACACATATTTGTCCGTAAAACAGATGCAGATATACAGATTTCTATCTTCATCTGTACAGATTCTTTAATATAGATTTCTACCTATAAAAGTTCTATGTTAATTTCTGTAGAGCTCTATCTGTCTGTAGAAAAATTTTTTGTTAAGGTTATTTCGAAGCAGAGTCTAATGATCTATTTCCCCTTTCCTGACACGTTATAATACTGAATATCATTAATTGTTATGATTTTCAAATCAAATAATCTAATTTCTCCAAAAGATTTCTACCTTCTTTCTTAATTTTTTGTTAAGGTTATTTCGAAGCAGAGCCTAATGATCTATTTCCCCCTTTCCTGACACGTTATAATACTGAATATCATTAATTGTTATGATTTCCAAATTGACCATCTGCACTGACGACCAGAGTTTTCTCAATCGTGGATAGTCATACTGTACTAAAATGATCAGAAGCCAATACTTCTGTAGGTGTTCCTGATTAATTAAAGACTGCTTTTATTCTTCAGCCATAATCGAAGAAAAAAGGCACAATTTTTAGTTTGAAATGACGTAACTTTCCAAAATTAATGGTTTAAATTAAATTTAGGGTCTTTAATTAATTTTTTTCTTTGCAAAGTAACGAAGGAAAAATAGTCATTAAAATTGCTCCAGTGAGGCTTCGAATTAGGAGTCATTCAGGAGCTCGGTTGAAATCTCATTCCTACCGAAATCTTTTCCTTAGACCAGTTGCGATGCAACCGGGGGGAGATCTCATAGTTCCACAGGGGGAATGGGGCCAGCTTAGCTGTTAATTATTTAGCTTCCATTCATGAATATAAAAAATTACTTTAATTCAAAATTTGATACTTACCAACAATCTTTATAGTTTTTCTTGTTTGTTTCTAACATTAAAAATAATCTAAATTTAAGTAAATGTATATGCATTTTCAAGCTTGGAATGAAAGGGAAGAATTGATCGTCAGTGCATTAGATGTTTTTCTATAGAATTCTGTAAGAAGTTTTTATAAGGGATATTTCATATATTTTTATTACGCATATCTTTGGGACTCTTTTCAAAGCAGCCTTTCACGTTCTTAATACAAGGTACACAGTAGACAGTGCCCTTCTCCAAGGGTATTTCTTTTCATAAAACTGACCTGTGACATCCCCTTCGTTAATGCCTTTTTTCGTGCTGACAGCGAAGTTTGTCTTCTCTTTGATGCGTCGTCCTCTAACCGCTACTTGTGCGACATCTAGCCTGAGTAATTGAACTTTTAAACAAAAGGGTGGTTCTGGAATTATTCGAGCGTGGTTTGCGTGCCACTCATTTGACTTAGAACTCCCGTTGTGTGTCAGAAGTCGAGTAAGGAGCTGAGACGATCATTCATGTCTCAAAGATTCCTGTTAGGATGTTATTGGATCATTTTTAACAATCTGAATTGCTCTGTTACATTCCAAAAGGAGCTCTTAATTAAATTTGTGCATTTACTGCCAAACTTGGGGTGGTTTTTAAAAGCGCGCCATTTAGCCACTAGAAATCAAAAACTTTTTTACTTCCTTGTACGGAATAAAAGAAATATTGCAATCGCGAAAAATTTCAGGCATCATATTTGAACGAGAATATCCATTTGAACGATGTTTTTGCGTGACATCTGTAGTATGAACAGAATAAAGGAGTCTTCTTTCCAAAGCGGATTGTAAAATGGATTCAGAAGAGACTTTTTCGTGACGTCTATACGTGTATGTGCGTACGTACGTATGTACGTATCTCGCATAACTTCAAAAACGTCGATTTTTAGAGCGTTGAAATTTTGTATATGGGAGTGATATCACGTGCAGTTTTGCACTTTCCTTTTTTAGTTGCAATCAGCCAGATCAAAGTATACAGATATACAGTGTCTCACAAAAGTGATGGGACAGTGCTTTACGAAAGGAAACTGTAATAAAATTAATTAAAAAAACATGTAAAATTTTTTTGTGGGTGTATTTCATACTTAAATTTAGTAACAATTATTACATAACATACATTTTCTCAAAATATTAAAATATTATTTAATAAAATACAATTGTTTAGAACGGAGCCAAGAAATGGCTCACATAAGTGATGGGACCTTACTTTTCCATCAAATATTTATCCCAAAAATTTTACTTCTTAAAATGTTTTAAAATATTTTGTTGGATTTCCTTTTACTTTTGAAACGCGATTTAATCTTCTTGGGATGGATTTGACTAATTTTTTTGTGATTTCTGAGTGATTTTACCCCCCCATTCTTCTTGAAGCAATGATTTTGATTGTTGTTTTGAAGAAATGGTGTGTTTTGCGAATTCTTGATTCCAATTCTTACCAAATATTCTCTATGGGATTTAAGTCTGGAGATTGTGGTGGTGTTTTTATTATTTCAGGACAGTTAATACAGCAGCCAGAGTCTAACGTTCAAAGCAGTGTGCTTGGGGTCATTGTCCTGGTAGAATTTAAATCGTTACGAAGAATCATTTTCGTGCTGAAGATTTCAAATTTTGATTTAAAATGTCAATATACTTGTACTGATCCATTTTACTGTCAATAAACAAGATTACCAACTCCAGCGGACGACATACACCCCCCATACCCATAA